GTCCGTCCCCTGCTGCTTGTTTCTATGGAGACGTCGTTGCTTTTCCTGGAGTGTTCCACGGTGTGACATTAAAACGTCTCTACTTCACATTTTATAGCTCAAAAACGACGGAGCTGGGTCGCCTCTCCACAGATCTGACCTGTAACTTCGTCCGGTTTGGTTTCCGTGACGACAGAAAGGTTTAATGCCGTACTGTGGAACAATTTGTGTGTCATTCGTTCATTTGTTTTTCAAAGTCAAACCAAAAATAAGAAAATGAAAAAAACAACAACAATTTTCTTCATTATTTGTCTCCAAAAAAATAAAATGAAATTTGATAACAATTTGTTTTTTCATTTTCTGATTTTTGTGTTTAAATGAAAAATGGTTTCCTGTTTTTACATGACTTAAACTGTGATGCCGGACTGAACCAGGACTAAACTAGGACTGAACCAGGACTAAACCAGGGCTAAACTAGGACTGAGACTAGGACCAGTCTAGGATTGAAACCAAGACCAGGCTGGGACCAGACCAGAAGTGAGACCGGTTGAGTCCTGGTTGAGTCCTGGTTTAAACCTGGTTCAGTCCTGGTTCAGTCCGGCATTGCAGTTTAAGTCACGTAAACGGGTCTTTTTTTTTTTTTTTTTTTTTTTCGTTTTGGTTTTGGAGAGAAATAATGAAGAAAAAAAAATATATATATATAATATATATAATAATTTTTTTATATATAAAATTATATATATACTTTTTTTTTCATTATTTTTGGTTTTATTTTGAAAAATGAATGATATGATACATGAATTTGGAACATTCCAGAGAAAGCAACAATATCTCCATGGAGAAAAGTCAGTCAGACTGGAGCAGCTCGGAGTAGAGCCGCTGCTCCTCCACGTGGAAGAAAATGGATGGAGAGAGAAAAGCGTTTGATGGACCCTCCACCAGAAAAGTTACACAGTTCACCTTTAAGTTACAATAGCTTTAATTAAAATTTGAGGATAGTAGAATTATTAAGTTAAATCAGAATTAAAAATTTAAAAGATTGAAGCTTGTCAAATGAAGCTGCATATTTTGAATAATTTGTGTAGATTTCTGTGATTTTTTGCACTGGACATTGAAAAGGTGAATGAAGAAAAGACGTCTGTATAATATATTTACTTACACCTTTTAAGCTCCCAGATAATACATGCATCTCGAAATTTTGGACTTCGGTCATCGCGCAATTCATACTGGGAAAGATCCTCTGAAAAAGTGAACATCAAACCTCCATGTTTGTTTCCCAGTGGGATGTGTCTATTGACAAAGTGGATCTTTTCAAGTCTTTTGAACCATATCACTTTTGTTTCTGGTTCTGATATTGTCATATTTTAGTTTTGGATTCGGACATCGTAATTGTGAAGTTGTTGGATCCAAACAGCGGAAAACGGCTCGAGAAATTTGTAAACTCCATAAGTGCAAAAATGAATCAGATGTGTGTGACTCAAACCTCCGTTCAAACTGTTTCTCTTCCCAACAGAATTGAAAAATAGTGAAAGGTGAAGGTGATGGGCAGGATTGATCCACAGGAAGAACCAAAAAGGAAACATTTGACTGTTTAAGAAATCATCCCGAGTTTACAGAGAACATTTTGTATGTGGAGCGACGACAAAACAAAATCCCGTTTGTTAATGTAGAGGAGCAGAAGACAAACAGACTGAGCTGCACTTTCTTGTTCTTGTGGTTTTACAGAAACATCACGTCTTGGTCTCTTTGCAGTGGAAGGTGTTTCTTGGTGAACAGTTGGAGCTTTTCACTTTGGTGTTGACTTTTTAAATTTGTAAACTGAGGTTGAGCGAAGGATCGGGATTTTGCTTTGTCGGCGCTCCACATACAAAATGTTCTCTGCAAACTTGGGATGATTTAGACCAGGGGTGTCCAAACTTTTTTTATCAAGGGCCACATATCTAAACACAGATGAAGCAGAGGACTGATCGAGGGCCATAGACTGGAGCTCAATACAGTGAATAACTGAAATATGTGCATGTTTAAACATGTTAAAATGAGCCATCAGTCTTTATTCACGCTAAGATCCTTAAAACCACTAAACACTAAATATTAAATATTGGCTTTCTCAAGGTAGATTTTCAAAAAACTTGCAGTAAAAAGTAAATTTTTAATTGATGCAAGGTCATTTGGGCCAATTCACCTGGAAGCTTGAGGGCCAAGAAAAATTTGTCTGAGGGCCGCATTTGGCCCCCGGGCCATAGTTTGCCTGATTTAGACAGTCAAATGTTTCCTTTTTGGTTCTTCCTGTGGATCAATCCTGCCCATCACCTTCACCTTTCACTATTTTTCAATTCTGTTGGGAAGAGAAACAGTTTGAACAGAGGTTTGAGTCACACACATCTGATTCACTTTTGCACTTACGGAGTTTACAAACTTCTGAAGCTCGTTTTCCACTGTTAAGATCCAACAACCACAAATTAACTATGTCCAAATCCCAAAACTAAAATATGACAAGATCAGAACCAGGAACAAAAGTGATATGGTTCAAAAGACTTGAAAAAATCAACTTTGACAATAGACACATCCCACTGGGAAAACAAACATGGAGGTTTGATGCTCACTTTTTCAGAGGATCCTTCCCAGGTTGAATCGCGCGATGACCGGATGTCTTGAGATTCGTGATGCATGTGTTCAAGTCAAACTACTGTTTTCATACACACTTATATAAGTTCAAACTGTTAGAGTTACATAAAATATGCAGAGGCTTGCTAAAAATAAAGCTTTATATGGGAACTTTTAAGTGCACGTGACGGGTTAAACTGCTCATTTCACTAAAACGTAACATCAGATTTAAGACTTTACTAAAAATCTGACCTAGTTTATTGCTTTTGGTGCAGTTATAATTGGACGTTGGCAGCAGAGGTGAATTTCGTTGTCAACAGTTACGATTAAACACAAATAAATGTAAATGTCGGTATCTTTATGTTATGTTATTAAATGTCTCGGCGTTTTGGATGGAGTTTTGGGTACAGCAGGTGGAGGGATTGTGCTGTAGAACTCCTCTTTCTACTTTTCTTTGCAACTTCCTCAAACTCACTCAGAACTTATGCAACATTCTGAGAAATATTGACCCCAGGTGCCGTCTCGCCAAACCAAGCCAGAATCAGAGAAACGCGGAAACCTGTCACGTGCGCTTCAAGCCTTTTGTTCCAGTCGTGGTTCAGACTTTTATCACCTTTAACTTGACTTTAGTGACGTTGTGCAGCCCTGCTCTGCCCCTGTGTGTGTGTGTGTGTGTGTGTGTGTGTGTGTGTGTGTGTGTGTGTGTGTGTGTGTGTGTGTGTGTGTGTGTGTGTGTGTGTGTGTGTGTGTGTGTGTGTGTGTGTGTGTGTGTGTGTGTGTGAGTGTGAGTGTGAGAGTGTGAGAGAGAGAGAGGAGTTTGTGAAGTGACGGCTGACCTCAGATCAGCTCAGAGACCAGATATATCAGAATAAATGTTTTTATTTAAACACAAACTTCTCCTGTGGGGTTTTATTTCTGTTTAATGCTCATTTTGATTTCAACTTCAGGTGTGAGAAATTATTTTATAGTAAAGACGACACGATTATTTGTAGGTGTAGATCTGGGGTGGGTAATTATTTTTTCCATGGGGCCACATGAGAAACAGAAAATATTATGGAGGCCAAAATGTTTAACTCAGTTCTGTGTAATATTAATTGTTAAAAAAAAGAGTTGACCGCACTTTCCACACTATAGGGCGCACTTAAAAGCCTTTAATTTCATCAAAAAATGAGTGCGCGCCTTATAATCCAGAGCGACTTATATATGAATTTATTGGTTTGTCTTAGTACGACTTTAGTAAAGTACAAAGCCGCACCAGTTGCAGCGTTACGGTAATACAGACATGATTCCTTTTAATATCAAAATGCACCTGTCAAGAGACACGCTCACAATGTCCACTTTAAACTCAAGACTCTTATAAAGTGAAAGTGCGTTTAGCTGCGTGGGAGCAGTGGATGAGAGAAGAAGAACACATATTCACCAAGACAGAGAGACGGCGCCGAGCCACTTACGCCACGATCTGCCGACGGATCGTTGACGCCCGGGCTAAGGATCAGGATCAACTCTGGTCCGAGTTTTCACCAAGACCAGAATCATCACTGAACTGAACTCCAGGGAACAGGAACCACACTGACTCGGATCATGACAGACGGATGTGGACGTGTGGACGCCGGAATCACCCAACTGTTTGAACTATTATGAATTATTGTGAATATTCTAACAATTTAGCGTCTCAGACAGGATTTTTTTTACGTGTTACAACTGAACAAAGTTGAGAGTTACTGTGAACGTGTTAAATAGAGTTTGACTGACTTATCAAACTGTTGTAGTCCAGTGCAGTTTATATGTGAAAAAAGTTTGAAAATAGACCATTCTATGACAGTGTGACTTATAATCCAGAGTGAACTATAGTGCAGAAAATACTTTATGTCATGACTAAGCAATGTGAAGAATCCCTCAGTCGTCCAGGTAGAATCCACGGCGAGGAGAAAATTCAGTTTGTCGACTGGACAAAAGTTAGTCTTCAACCAAACTAACTTTTGTCCAGTCGACAAACTGAGTTTTCTCCTCGCCGTGACTAAGCAATGAAAAAGTGAGGCTGCCTTACAAAAAATGTCATTTTCTAGGAGCTGGACAATGCCAGGTTCTGCTGGAGATTATTTCAGTCTGTAATGTTATTTAAATATTTAATTGGCTCTGAAATCAGCGTTAACATTTGCCCTGACACACAAAGAAGTGTCTTTGTAAAAGCAGAAGTGCCCTCTGCTGAAGTTTTCTCTTCATTTATAAAGTGACATCCTCCTGCAGAGCCTGTTAATAAATAAAATTATACATTCATACCAAGTATTAAAAAGTTAAATCATCAAAGGGGCCAAATTTATAGTTTTTGGTGGCAGGCAATGTCTTTTTTTCAAAACAGACGCTCAGTTGCAGAATGAAACACCAATATAGCAGTAATATTTATATTTAATATTCATATTTTATTAAGGATCACCCCTTGAGCTGCATCATCTTTTTCTCAAGAAAGTAACAAGAGCAACAAGAATGAATCACAACAGACGATAACAGACAATCACATAAAAGACAAATTACACACAACTACAAGACATCCTGATTTTCTCTCCTCCTGTCCCAATAATAATCATAATATGATTTTATTTTTAATAGACCAAAATAAGAAAAAAAAAATCACCAAGAAGCTCATTTTACAGACTTTCAGTTGCAAAGAAATGGCTGAAGACACAAAAGCAGAAAACCTCTTTAAACAGCAAGTGTTACAGGTGTTTAAAGAGTTTATGAGTCAGAGGGAAGAAACTTTTATAGAGTCCATGTTTTACAGTTTCCTCTTGTTTTAGTGATGACACGTCTCTCGTTACAAAGAGACTGCAGTTGTTTAAAGCTGACGTGGTTTTAAGTGTGGATCTGTGCTCAGACCTGTGACAGAAAGTGAACGACGGAGGTGGAGGAAAGAAGCTCAGCAGAAGTGAGATATACACACTGGTCCTATGTTATGATGGATTATTACTGCAGTATTTACATGTTTGTTACACACTGCGCTTAAATATACGACTTTGAAAGGAAATTCTCTGGTTTGATTAAGGAACCTCTGTAGATAAAATAATGATTTCAAAACCATTCAAAAACACATAGAGAACTGTGAAATAGACTGAAAAAGATTTCACTGGACACATTTTGTGTGTCACTTTTATAACCATCTTCAGGTCAATCATTGTCTGTGTTACGTTCACTTCCATAAAACTCTAAGTATTTTATTACTTTATTCATCTGAACGTGGCAAAAGGCCATGGCACATGTTTGCTCCCTTTAAAACGCTCTGAACCTTCTGTGGGTTTTTCTACAGTCCATCACTCACAATAGAAGGGCTCCTGGAGGACATGTTTCTTCTCCAAGAGCTTCTGTCCTTCCTCCAGAGAATCATTGATCCTCTGCAGAGAGTTGACCTCTGACCTCCACAGAGCGGCTCTGGCTCTGATCCACTTTGAGGTCTCGGTCTCACTTCCCCAGGACAGACTCATGCCTTCACTGGTGATGATAAACACGTCCACACCAATGAACAGAGCATTAGCAACGATAAAGCCATTTCGAGCAGCTGTGGACATGGCCAGAGGACCTCTGAGAGCCGCCTGGCCCAACTCTGGGACGTCTGATGCAGCCTGACCTACAGCCCTCCCTGAACCTGCAGCTTTAACTACAGCTTTCTCTGCCTTCAACATTTTAATGACAGAAACACCATCTACAATCGCATCAATGCATTTCGCAAATGTCGCCCCTTTTCCTGTCATCTTCAGAGCTTTGACAATATCAATGTTTTCTGTGCTCCGGAAATGATTGTCAATGATGTTTTTCAGACAGTTCTGGAGCTCATCCACATCTGTCATGAACCTTTTAAAGTTCTCACTGGCGTTGTTCTTCTGTGTTTTACTGTAAAAATGATCTGTAACCGTGGTTACTAAACTGTTGACTACGGTGGTCCCTGCTGTCGCAGCTCCAGCTATAGTCAGACCCAGAGACAATCCTGCAGTGACAGGGATCAGAGCCAAACCAGCGATGGACAAACCTCCTCCCACCACCCCCACAGAGCTGCTCACCACGTTGGAGATCCGAGCTCCTTTGTTCATTCGGTCTAACTTCACTGCACAGGGCTCCAGCTCATCCAGGACCTCCAGCATCCTCTCCCTCCTCTCTCGAAACATCTCCATGAAGGTTCTGTGTTCATCATGGAACAAGAACAACATCCGGAAGTGTTTGTTCTTCCTGAGAATCAAAAAACAATAATGATCATCATCAATCATTAGTGAAGAGACTCCAGGATCTGAATCATGTACGTCTCCATTAATATTTCTGTAAACAATTTTGGACTAATCTGTTACTCAACACACTCTGATTAAATGACTTCATTAAATGCCTCTATTCGCTCTTGTAATTTCTTTTCTTCCCATTTTAACTAACCTGGCTTTTGCTGGATTGATATGTGTAGAACTCTCATTTGACTTCTACACTCAGTCTGCAAAAAGCAGTCAGGAAAAAGGTGGAGCGTCGTAATGAATATTTGAATCTGATTAGTCAAAGTGTCTCAAAACCAGTTTAGACCCAGTTTAGAGAAAAGCGCAAACATCTTTCCCTCCACAAATGCACAAAGCTCTTCTTCTTTCACATTTTTTACAAACTAAACAGTCTGTGTTTTCAATAAAATAGTCTGAAGTATGTCTGTCTGCATCACCATGTTTGTTTTGGTTCATTTGGGCGTTTCGCCTTTGATTTCTGAACAAACTTCAATGCTGCTCTGTGATTGGTTCGTTCTCTGCTGGCGAATTTGAACCTTACAGCGGGAGGATCTCAAGATGGATTCTTGTGATCTCGCTGTGGAAGCTCGGTTCATTTAACTGACTGAAAGAGCAGATGTCAGAAGGAAATCCTCTGCTTTATTCCTATAAATAATATTCTAATCGTGCTGGTGGCACAGCTGGAAAGACACTGGACTAGAGTCTGAGGACTTGGCCTTTATGTTGTAGTGAGTATATTTCACACTTTTGTCCACCGCTCACAATCTATTTAAACAAGTGAATAATGAATTATTCTGGAGAAATAACGTGTTTGTTGTTGTACCTGATTTGGTCGAGGGTGTTTATGTTGATGAGCATCTTTTCAACATCATCTTCAGACACTTCTGGTTTCAGGGAAAACGTGGGTTTGTTCAGACAGAAATCTGCAACAGAGCTGTGAAAAAACTCACATTTATTAATTAAATTTACACAAATGTATAAAATATTTGTGAGTTTTAAAACCTTTCTCTAAAAGCACTGCAGATGTCCTTGATGGTCCCGATGTACTGACGCAGTTGACTCTTCATCACTTCCACATTGTGCACTTTGGCTTTGAAGAACTCCTCATTGTTCCGTTTGAAGAGCAGCAGCAGAGGCCTGATGATCCGAGCAGCAAATATGATCCTCTTCACTGACTCCAGATCAGTTTCTTCAGACAGCTCTACCACCTGGGTTTGCTCAAACACTCGATCTGAAGTCACCATTAACTTCTCCACCGCCTCCAAAAAGATCTGCATCTCATTTAGACCCTCCACAATCTTCAGCACCAGGACCTCCAGCTCCGTCTGCAGCTCCTTCTGCTCTTTAGCCTGCTTCTTTGATGTTCTTCCTGGTACAATACTGTCTCCTACAAATTTCCAGAAAGCCACAAAAGTGGTGCCTTTGGTTTTTGCCTTTTTGACCTGGTTGAATCTGTTGTGGATGTCACTTGCTCTCTCTGGGATTGTGGCCAAAGTGCTTTTCTCTTCCTTTCGCTCCTTTATCCACTCAGAGCTTTTGGCAACAAAGTTTTTGACAATTTTTATGGAGCTGAAAGTGAGTGAGACGTAGTTCCCCAACGCCGTCTCCAGTTCATTCCTGTGAACAGATCCTTGAGGTCAAAATAAGTCAACTGTGCACTGTCTGTATCGAATTATAAAGACAAATTCTGCCTAATAATGGTAATGGTCACATTTTTATACAGCGCTTTTCCACCTTCAAGGATCAAAACTCTTTACAACAAGACACCACTCACACACCAGAGTACACACACACTGGGGGTGAGGTGGGTTAAGTGTCTTGCCTGACAGCATTCATCCGTGGGAGCTGGAATCACAGCAGCCAACCTTTGGGTCAGTGGATCTGACCGCTCAACCCATGATGTTTTTTTTTTTTTTTTTTATGTCAAGAGCAGAATTGGAAACTTCACCCTTCGGATCATTGGACAAATGCTCTACCAACTGATCTACTGCTGCCCCAAATCAACAAGTGCATCACACCAGTCTCTGAGAATCATGAAAGGACCTCACAGTGAATCCTTAGGATGCTCAGTAAAGATGCACCAATTCAGCTTTGTGGGGTGGGTGCTTGGCACTGAGCATCTGGTGGCTGGGCCTTCCCCCACAGGGCCCAACCAGGCTCAGTCCAAAGGAGCGATGTGGAGATGTCCTCCCATGGACCCACAGGAGGAGCCATAAAGGGCTGATGCAGAGAGATCTGGGCGGCAGTCAAAGGCGGTGGCCTTGATGACCCGATCTCCGGACATGGAGACTAGCTCTAGGGACATGGAATGTCACCTCACTGGGGGGAAGGAGCCTGAGCTTGTGCAGAAGGTTGAGCGTTACCGACTAGATATAGTCAACCTCACCTCCACGCACATTTTGGACTCTGGAACCCAACTCCTTGAGAGGGACTGGACTCTCTATTTGTCTGGTGTTGGCCGCGGGGAGCGATGGCGAGCTGGTGTGGGCTCATTCCCTCACAGCTCAGCCATTGTGTGTTGGAGTTCACCCCGGTGAACGACAGGGTCGCGTCCCTGTGCCTTCAGGTCAGGGACAGGTCACTGTGGTGTGGACCTACGGGACCGAGCAGCAGTGCAGAGTACCTGGCCTTCTTGGAGTCCCTGGGAGGGGTACTAGACAGTGCAGCAACCCGGGGACTCCGTTGTTCTACTGGGGGACTTCAACGCCCATGTGGGCAACGACAGTGACACTTGGAGAGGGGTAATTCGAAGGAACGGCCTTCCTGATCTGAACCTGAGCAATGTTTTGTTATTGGACTTCTGTGCTAGTCACAGTTTGTCCATAACGAACACCATGTCCGAGCACAAGGGTGTCCAAATGTGCACGTGGCACCGGGACACCCTAGGCCGGAGGTCGATGATCGACTTTGTTGTATCTTCTGACCTCCGGCCGCATGTCTTGGACACTCGGGTGAAGAGAGGGGCTGAGCTGTCAACTGATCACCACCTGGTTGTGAGTTGGGTTCGTTGGCAGAGGATGAAGCCGGACAGACCTGGCAGGCCCAAGCGTGTAGTGAGGGTCTGTTGAGAATGTCTGGCAGAGCCCTCTGTCAGAGGGACTTTCAACTCAGACCTCTGGGAGGGTTTCTGACAGATTCCGGGGGAGGCTGGGGACATGGAGTCTGAGTGGACTGCGTTCTCGGCCTCTATTGTCAATGCGACCGCTCGTAGCTGTGGGCGTAAGGTCTGTGGTGCCTGTCGCAGTGGCAATCCCCAAACCCGGTGGTGGACACTGGAAACAAGGGATGCCATCAGGCTGAAGAAGGAGTCCTATCGGGCCTTGTTGGCTTGTGGGACTCCTGAGGCAGTTGACAGGTACCGACGGGCCAAGCGTGCTGCAGCCCGTGTGGTCGCGGAGGCAAAAACTCGGAGCTGGGAGGAGTTCGGGGAGGCCACGGAGGAGGACTATCGGACGGCCTCAAAGAGATTCCGGCAAACCGTCCGGCGCCTCAGGAGGGGGAAGCAGTTCTTCACCCACACCGTTTACAGTGCGGGGGGAGAGCTGCTGACCTCGAATGGGGACGTTGTCCAGTGGTGGAAGGAATACTTTGAGGATCTCCTCAATCCCACTGTCACTCCTTCTGCAGAGACAGCTGAGGCTGGGGACTCGGAGGCGGACTCATCCATCACCCTGGCTGAAGTCACTGAGGTGGTTGGCAAGCTCCTTGGTGGCAAGGCTCTGGGGTTGGATGAGATCCATCCCGAGTACCTTAAGTCTCTGGATGTTGCAGGGCTGTCTTGACTGACACGCCTCTTCAACATCGTGTGGCGGTCGGGGACAGTACCTCTGGACTGGCGAAGCGGGGTGGTGGTCCCTCTGTATAAGAAGGGGGACCGGAGGGTGTGTTCCAACTACAGGGGAATCATACTCCTCAGCCTTCCCGGTAAGGTCTATGCCAGGGTACTGGAGAGGAGAATCCGGCCGATAGTCGAACCTCGGATCAGTGTGGTTTTGGTCCTGGCCGTGGAACACTGGACCAGCTCTACACTCTCCATCGGGCACTCGAGGGTTCATGGGAGTTTGCCCAACCAGTCCACATGTGCTTTGTGGATCTGGAGAAGGCATTTGACCATGTCCCTCGTGGTGTCCTGTGGGGGGCGCTCTGGGAGTATGAGGTCTGGGGTCTGAATGACCGGAGCAGGAGCTGTGTTCACATTGTCGGCAGTAAGTCAGACTTGTTCCAGGTGCATGTTGGACTCTACGCCGAGAGGAGCAGCTAAGGCTCGGGCATCTGTTCCGGATGCCTCCTGGGCGTCTCCCTCGGGAGGTGTTCATGTCCCACTGGGAGGAGGCCCTGGGGAAGACCCAGGACACACTGGAGGAACTATGTCTCTGGGCTGGCCTGGGAACACCTTGGGGTCCCCCCAGAGGAGCTGGAGGAAGTGGCTGGGATGAAGGAAATTTGTGGCTGTGGCTACAGTAGTAGTTTATATCACCACTGAGTGTTGAGTGAATGAATAATGAACTGTACAGGGCTTTGGGTATCTCGATTAATGAATTCATTCATTAAAAATAGACTTTACTATGTGACAAAATGTGTTAAGCAGCTCTTACTTACCTCTCAAGTAATTACAGAACAACTTTGTATTAAACGTTCAAACATGAGACTTTCTGGACCAACTATAACCAATAAATATTCTTATTACATCAATTTACAGGCCCAACCAGGATATTGACATAATTGATATTTTTGAGCCGATACCTGATCCAGCAAATGTTCATGGATCAGCACCAGTATTTGATAACGGTATCGGTATCGGTGCATCCCTAATGTTCATGATTATAATGAGCAAATCTCTGTAAAGTGATGACGTATTTTTGACAGTAAAGTCCTGTCTGTGAATTCATGTTTGTACTGATGAAAGTGTAAATTTTCATTTCGTGATTGTAATTCTTGACGTTGTAACTTTTCAATTCGTATTCTGATGGATAAAATACACACAGTATATTTTATGTACGACTGGACTCATTTGAGAGTTTACGAATATTTATTTTATGCGCAACTACAACCAAATACGCACAGATTTCTATTCTATGCACACGACTATTTCTGAAAGTTTTCTTACTCCATAAATCTGTCCTTGTTTATTCTCGTGTAAATTTGTGATCAGTCGTGTCTGTGTCGTGGTGCAGTATCACAGTGACAGAAATCAGGTACAGGTCCTTTAATTCACATCTGTGCTGCACTGTGAGCAACACTGCCCCCTTCTGGACGCCCTGATCCTCCCTCACTGTGTGAAGGACAGAGACGTGTTTCCTTCCTGCTGCTGTGAGACTCGACAGTGAACAGAAACTACAGACCAAGAATAAAACACACACACTTCCATTTATAAAACTATTCCTCAAACTGTAAACAATATGAACAACTGACAAAGACCCACTGTAATAATGTATAATCTGTAGTTTTTCATGAAATGTAAAGCTTCATCTTTGCTGTTTTTACTCTCAATATTTTTAAGAGAATAAAAACAGACCCACATTACCTTGAGGCAGTCATCTTGTCGTCTCCTGTGCTCCTGCTTCTGCTCTGTGTTTTATCCTGAGACTCCTCGTGAGGGAGGAGTTTCCTCTGACACGTTCAGAATGAAACTGAAAGCAAACTTTTACTGTGAGCACTGTTTTTGTACTTTTTTTTGGTACTGCTACCAGTACTTCTACTATTACTACAAAAGAAAGAGTAAAAATATAAATGATAATAAATTCTAAATAAGTAGCAAAAATAGCAAGAGACACGTGTCAAATAATGTCTAAATATATAAATGAAAATGTAAAGTAAAAGTAAAAATAAAATATATAAATAGAGACAGGACACAGGGTCATCTGTTACATAAGGGTGAGTTGTTGTACAGTTGTAGGGAGTATTATCTGTTACATAAGGGTGAGTTGTTGTACAGTTGTAGGGAGTATTATCTGTTACATAAGGGTGAGTTGTTGTACAGTTGTAGGGAGTATTATCTGTTACATAAGGGTGAGTTTGTTGTTACAGTTGTAGGGAGTATTATCTGTTACATAAGGGTGAGTTGTTGTACAGTTGTAGGGAGTATTATCTGTTACATAAGGGTGAGTTGTTGTACAGTTGTAGGGAGTATTATCTGTTACATAAGGGTGAGTTGTACAGTTTTAGGGAGTATTATCTGTTACATAAGGGTGAGTTGTTGTACAGTTGTAGGGAGTATTATCTGTTACATAAGGGTGAGTTGTTGTACAGTTGTAGGGAGTATTATCTGTTACATAAGGGTGAGTTGTTGTACAGTTGTAGGGAGTATTATCTGTTACATAAGGGTGAGTTGTTGTACAGTTGTAGGGAGTATTATCTGTTACATAAGGGTGAGTTGTTTGTACAGTTGTAGGGAGTATTATCTGTTTACATAAAGGTGAGTTGTTGTACAGTTGTAGGGAGTATTATCTGTTACATAAGGGTGAGTTGTTGTACAGTTGTAGGGAGTATTATCTGTTACATAAGGGTGAGTTGTTGTACAGTTGTAGGGAGTATTATCTGTTACATAAGGGTGAGTTGTTGTACAGTTGTAGGGAGTATTATCTGTTACATAAGGGTGAGTTGTTGTACAGTTGTAGGGAGTATTATCTGTTACATAAGGGTGAGTTGTTGTACAGTTGTAGGGAGTATTATCTGTTACATAAGGGTGAGTTGTTGTACAGTTGTAGGGAGTATTATCTGTTACATAAGGGTGAGTTGTACAGTTGTAGGGAGTATTATCTGTTACATAAGGGTGAGTTGTTGTACAGTTGTAGGGAGTATTATCTGTTACATAAGGGTGAGTTGTTGTACAGTTGTAGGGAGTATTATCTGTTACATAAAGGTAAGTTGTACAGTTGTAGGGAGTATTATCTGTTACATAAGGGTGAGTTGTTGTACAGTTGTAGGGAGTATTATCTGTGACATAAGGGTGAGTTGTAGTACAGTTGTAGGGAGTATTATCTGTTACATAAGGTGAGTTGTTGTACAGTTGTAGGGAGTATTATCTGTTACATAAGGGTGAGTTGTTGTACAGTTGTAGGGAGTATTATCTGTGACATAAGGGTGAGTTGTTGTACAGTTGTAGGGAGTATTATCTGTTACATAAACGTAAGTTGTACAGTTGTAGGGAGTATTATCTGTTACATAAGGGTGAGTTGTTGTACAGTTGTAGGGAGTATTATCTGTTACATAAGGGTGAGTTGTTGTACAGTTGTAGGGAGTATTATCTGTTACATAAGAGTGAGTTGTACAGTTGTAGGGAGTATTATCTGTTACATGAGAGCGAGTCGTTGCACAGTTGTAGGGAGTATTATCTGTTACATAAGGGCGAGTTGTTGTACATTTGTAGGGAGTATTATCTGTTACATAAGGGCGAGTTGTTGTACATTTGTAGGGAGTATTATCTGTTACATGAGGGTGAGTTGTACAGTTGTAGGGAGTATTATCTGTCTCTATAGTCTGGTGCAGTGGGTGAGCAGGAGTGTCCATGATGGAGAGCAGTTTGTCCAGTGTCCTCGTGTCCCTCACTGTGACAAATGTCTCCAGGTCACAGTCGATCACGTGAGCAGTTTTACAGATCAGTTTGTCCAGTTTCCCTTTTCCTGGAGCAAAGGTCCTTGTTTCAGTCACTATTTCCACCTCATGGCCCTGGATGGTGACGGGCTCCACTCGTGTCCTCTTCCTCCTGAAGTCATCACCGGTTCCTTGGTCTGGTCGATGTTCAGGAGCAGATGGTTTGCCTGGGACCACTTCACAAAATCATCTTGTCATCATCTTGTCGTCTCCTGTGCTCGTGCTTCTGCTCTCTGTCTCATCTTAGACTCCTAGAGGGGGGTTTCCTCTGACACGTTCAGAATGAAACTGAAAGCAAACTTTGCCAGTTAAAGCACATTTTTTGTACATTTTTTGGTACTGCTACTGCTACTTTTGCTACTACTACTAAAGAAAGAGTAAAAATATAAATTATAATAAATTCTAAATAAATAGCAAAAATAGCAAGAGACACGTGTCAAATAATGTCTAAATATATAAATGAAAATGTAAAGTAAAAGTAAAAATAAAATATATAAATAGAGTAAAAAATACATCTCAGCTATAAACAAGCAGTTGCAAAGATGAAATAATGATTGACAGGACAAAGGGTCATCTGTTACATAAGTGTGAGTCATTGCACAGTTGTAGGGAGTATTATCTGTTACATAAGTGTGAGTCATTGCACAGTTGTAGGGAGTATTATCTGTTACATTAGGGTGAGTTGTACAGTTGTAGGGAGTATTATCTGTTACATAACTCCCCCCCAGAGACACACACAGACACACAGAGACATAAACACAAAGATGTTGCAACTTCCACGACTTTGTTGGACATGATGTCAGTGTCCGATAAAGTGTTAAATATTCAGATCAGCTCATTGGTTTGAAACTTTTCTGTTCACACACTTGATCATTCTGTGGATGAACAGACTAATGATGCAAATGAAAACTCAAAAGACAAAACTCAGTAGTTTTATTAAACTTTGACATCAGTGGATAATTTTGACATCGTAACATTCAGACATGACAAAGTATCTAATAAATAACAGTGACAGTAAAACAAGGAGCTGGTGCAGACTGAGACAAAACTGATCCTCCTGCAGCTACAGAATATAAAGTTATTATGAGAGCAAATTAAACAATTAAGATCCAAACACAACATGATATGTTTATACTAAAGGTGTCAGCAAGAGTACACACACCACACAAAAGTCTACAACAGAACTCGACTAGAAAACCAGTTCTAATCAAACACTGTACAGAGCTCCAGTAGAACCTGTGATGTTAACCCAGGGGTGGGCAAACTTTTTGGCTCAGGGGCCACATAAGGTTCTAAAATTTGACTGAAAGGCCGGACAGGAGACAAGACATGACCAAAACCCAGGTTCCAAAATGGCCGCCCATTCAAGTCAATGGGACCTGAGCTCAATGGCGCATGATCCCAGATTAGCCTAGCATGGCTACGTACTTCCGGTGGCTGTGGGCCGACCGAGCATGTGCAGTAGTGTCTTTTCTCCCACGGACACACGCCAATGTACACGAACACATGCACAGAGCGCGGGCTCGTGTATCATGTGATCGCCTTGACCAATCAGAGCGAGAGGAGCTAGAGCGGAGCCAAAGCTACTGATTATAAACCGTTTTTTAAGACAACTGAAGGATTCTGAGCTGAGAAAAAGTTTATGATATAAAAATAGGTAAAAATTGTCGGCAAATCAGGTATTTTTGAAAGCTGTAGGTGACCTGTCAGACGAACACGAGCAGTTTGTGATTATATTGCCTCTATGAGAAAAATCTTGTCTCGGCCCATGGGATTTTTTCTGCTGAAGTTCCAGTGAGTCACTACGTCAACTGGAGGCAGCTACAAGCAGCAATACTGTAATCCAGTTATTTTAATAGATCCATGGACATGACGTGTTTAGATCCCAGCTCCATTGCACTCGTATTTACGCTCATGTAGGACGTATTTGGCACTACATGCTACAACTTTTGGACGTGAAAACTTCAGAATTCATGAAAAGTGAATAAGGTCTGTTCCACTGCAGACCACAGGTGAATATCTGTCTGAGTCCTTTGCACTTACATCTTGTATAGAACTAGGACCCATGCTCGGACTCACTTACACATGGAGCGTAACTACACCATTCTGACATTTTACAAATTAAAATTTATGCTTCCATGCATGTATTTTGTATGACTTTACTTCTGACCATGTTGACAGTAAAACAGTGCAGCCTTATGTCTTGAACACTTCTATCTCACTCATGGTCGAATACACCGCCCGAAAATGACTCTTGTCATTAGCTAGTCAGAAAGAATACTTCCCATAAAGCATTGCGGCCAACATAATACGCCGCACCTCAATGTATACATAATGCGCCATCTACTGGGAAACGCCGGAAATGCAAGAAAAAGAAAACATCATCAAAGTTTATTATTGTAATCATGGATCTATTAAAATAACTGGATACAGTATTGCTGCTTGTAGCTGCCTCCAGTTGACGTAGTGACTCACAGCAGAAAAAATCCCATGGGCCAAGACAAGATTTTTTTCATAGAAAGGAGAAAAAGAGAACTACTGCGCACGCTCGGTCGGCCCACAGTCACAGGAAGTACCTAGCCGGGTTAGGCTGATCTGGGATGACGCGTCATTGAGTTCAGCCTACTGACTTGAATAGGCAGCCATTTTCAAACCTCAAGGCTTGACTGCAGTTTATTCAAGTTCAGCGGCACAAGTACAAAAGCAATGACATAGACATGCCAATGTATTACAGTCCTTTTAAACACATCATGTGCTGTGCTTACCACATTGTGTCTTCAAATGTAACATAGTTTAATTTGGACATACTTCAAATGAAATCAGTGCAACCTTATATCTTGAACAGTTCTACCTCACTCATGGTCGGAATACACCGCCCGAAAAAAAACGCCTGTCAATACTTTCCCATAAAGCATTGCGGCCAACAAAAGACGCCGCACCTCAATGTATATATATATATATATATATATATATATATATATATATATATATATATATATATATCA